GGCTAGCTCATGCCCGAAATAACAACACACAAACTGTGTTCATTTAAGAACTGCTTGGCCCATGAACTCTAGCCCTTACAGGCTAATTCTCGCACCTGGACTAGCCCATTTCTAATAATGCGTGTAAGCACCCCAAGGTGCGCTTACCGGGAAGATTCTAGTCTCCATCCATCGTTGCGTCTACCCAGGAGAGCTGAGCATGGCGTCTCTCTGGGAGCAGAGCAGAGTCTGACCTCACTTCCTCTTCCGCCCAGCATCCTATTCTGTTTTCTCCTCCCATCTATGCTTTAACCTATGAGGGCCAGCCAAGCAGTTTCTTTATTGCTCAGCCAATGAAATCAACAGATTGATATGACACTCCCACATCAGGTGCACGTCTTTAATCCAAGTACTCAGGAGGCAGAGGCAGGCAGATCTCTGTGAGTTCAAGCCCAACCTGCTCTACAGAGTGAATTCCAGGACAGGCTCCAAAGCTACATAGAGAAACTCTGTCTTGAAAACAAAACAAAACCAAAAAAAAAGAAGTGCTTCATTTTTATGAAATGAATATTGTGGTACCGTGGCATAGTGTTTTTCTCTTTTGAGTATGCATGTTCATCTATATGTCCACATACATGTGGAAGCCAGAAGTCAACACAGGTGTCGTCCTCAGTCACTCTCCACCCTAATTTTTTGAGACAAGCTTTCTCACTAAGCCTAGAGTTTACCAAATTCCACTAGACTGGCTTTGTCAATGTCTACGTCCCCAGAGGTTATAAGTGAAGCCCTGTATCCAGCTTTTAACGTGGTTCTGGGGATCTAAACTTGTGCAGCAAGTACTACACTAACAAAACCACCTCCCTAGGGTCTAAGACATGATCTCTGTTGTTCATACTGGTCTCGAACTTGCAATTCTCTGCCTCAGCCTTCCAAGTAGCTAGGATTAAAGACTCATATATGGTGCATTTTGTTTGGTAATATATTTTAGGTATTTATGCAAAATTCAAAGCACTTTTTAATGCATCAAAATTCTATACTTAGTTCCAGTTGACCCAAGCCTCATTATAGTGGTACAAGCCAAAGAGGATGCCTATATTCCACGGACAGGAGTTCGAAGCCTGCAAGAAATTTGGCCTGGTTGTGAAATCCGGTACCTAGAAGGGGGTCACATCAGTGCTTATCTCTTTAAACAAGGACTCTTCAGGTAAGATGATTCCTCTAAATTGGTATTTATTTGTTGATTGTTCAGGGGAATATTTTTTTTGCTTAAAAAATATGTGAAGCCGGGCAGTGGTGGCGCATGCCTTAAATCCCAGCACTCGGGAGGCAGAGGCAGGCGGATCTCTGTGAGTTCAAGGCAGACCTGTTCTCCAAGAGTTAGTTCCAGGACAGGCTCCAAAGCTACAGAGAAACCCTGTCTCCAAAAAACAAAAACCAAAACAAAAAAGACAAATATTTTAAATCTTATTTAGAAGGATTTCTCCTATACTGTTCTCTTATTTTGTCCTCTAGAGATACCAGAAGTCTATCTTATCAGATAGTTTTAACCAGAGATCATTTTAGAAATACAATAGTTATCTGTCCTTCATATTTGTCAATGACTGATTATTTCTTTTCACTTTATTTTAGACAAGCCATCTATGATGCCTTTGAACGTTTCCTTCATAAATATGCTAACTAATCGGATCAATGGATCCTACTAAAAGCGTTCACCCTACGATGATGTGAAAAACAAGCAGACAGCAGTACTTACCTGATTGCTGCCATATAGTCTCTGTGCCAGTGTTATGGGTCAGTTACCAACTGTAGATTCTATTAATGTAAAAGCAGTACTTGAATCATACAATCCTGAAGTGTTTGTTACTCTTGAAAATCTCATATGTCCAATATGACATCTGTTGTTAATATTTATAAAAACATTTTAATTATGGATAATTTATTGATTCTGAATAAATAGGAACCCTATTGGCTTTTAATAGAATTGTTGAAACTAAGATTATATAACATATGTACTGTATACTGTTATATGGCATTTTTTGCTGTTAACTTGATCTTAAAACCTGTGTTCCTCCTTTTTGTCTATGTAGTGAGTTTATAATCTAGCTTTCAACTTTAGGTAATTTACTGCCATAGAAATACCTAAGATGTGTAAATCAGTGTTACCTTTGAATTATGAAAACTATCCTGACTGCTGAGCTGTGCCTCTGTGTACAAACTGCAATCCCAGCATTTGAGAAGTGAAAGCAAGAGGGTTAAGAGTCCCATCATTGTTCTTTACAGAGCAAAGTTGAGGCCAGCCTGAGCTACGCGAGACCCTGTCTCAAAAAAATATGGCTGGCATGGTAGCTCATATCTTCAAAGCTGCTGACTTTTTAAATGGGATTTATATGGATAGATATATGGTGCTGATAATAAACTTCTCTGAGCAAGAATGTTTAAAAGGTAATATTAAAATGTGTTTGCTTGAAATCTTTTATTGCTCTTAAATTTAAGTTTAATGGAGATATGTGGATTTTTTTTTTCTTTTTTTCAAGCCAGGGTTTCTGTGTAGCTTTAAAGCCTGTGCATAGGTGGATATTAACATGCCTTTGGCAGCTTTTTAAAGATGCTGCGCCATTCTAATGTCTGTTCCTAAGGTTCCCGACAGCTGTTTAAACATTTTTACTGTGGAGTCAGTGATGGAAAAGTAGTTGCTTCTTGGACACTTGGACTTTCACATACAACACAGTAAAGCTGTTAGAGCTACAACAATTTCGTATATTCAGACTAGAACTTTTACTTTTGACTTCCAGGACAAAATGATCCTTTAAATAAAACCTGTGCACACCTTTAATCCCAGTGCTCTGGAGGCTGAGGCAGGCCAATCTCTCAGCTGGAGGCCAGCCTGGTCTACTGAGTGAATTCCACCAGGACTACACAGAGAAAACCTGTCTGTCTTTTTTAAAAAAATAAATAAATAAAATAAGAGATTAAATGTATTACACCATTCTATCATGCATATAGTGAGAGAATTTCTTTGGATTCTGAACATAGTTTCAGCCAAAAACAACATTTTTCTTCACATATGCATTTATTAAAAACATTCTGTGGTATGTAGTTTTTCTACTAGTAAAATAATGAAAATTTGATATTTTTATTAATTCTTAGACTATTTTAGAATTTTTATTTTTTAAGAACTGGGTGCAGAGTCAGGCATGGTGGGACATACCCTTAATCCCAGCTCTGGGAGGCAGAGTTCAAGGCAAGCCTGGTCTGCCAAGCCGTTCAGAACAGTCAGAGATACACAGAGAAACCTTATCTCAACAGAGGAAAAAAAAAAGGAAGAACTGTGTGTCACTGGCAGGACATGCCTGTAATTCCAGCACTTGGGAGGTAAAGGATCAGTCACAAGTTCCAGGCCGATAAGGTCTACTTAGTGTGTTCCCAGACCACTCAGGACTATCTGTCTCAAATAAATAAATTCATTTTCATCCTTCATTCACAAAACTGCCTAAGCTGATTAGTTCAGAAAGAAAAAAATACCTTTTTTTCACGTTTCTTTAAGCCCACTCAGCATAATAATAGCTTAGATACAAGCATTCATACACACACGTTATATATATTCTTTGAGAAATTAATGTATTTTCAAAGAAGTCCTGCCTGCCATTTTCCTGACACTTTGTGGATTAGGTCTATAAATACTATAGATTCAATCAGACCAGAGTTGCAGGGTACTAGTTTTCACAGGCCAGTTTGACCCAGTTTTTCTGGTGTGCATAATAGGTGTGGATTCCCAATTCTGCTAGCAGACTTCTTATATGTAAGTAACTACTACTCAGCTCTAAAGACCCCTGATGGTTAGACTTCATGATTTGCCAATGTTGTAATTAGATTTTATCAATGTATTTTAATGTGGTGCTTTCTCTAATGTATATTAACATTATAACTGAATTTTTAAGATATTTCCAAATTTATATTTCATAATAAAAATCTATTTTAGAAGTTATTTGCTTTGTTTTCTTTTTAAAGAAGTATTATTCCAACTACCAGAAGCATTTATCGTTTGATTCGTGTGTCCAAACCTGAGCTAATTGGGTTTGCCTTTAGCTCTCATACCCATGTGGTAAGGTAGGAATGAGTCAAGGAAGCTCTGACACAGTATCAGTATGCTAGTGTCTCCTCAGAGCCAGGTTTTACTCCATTCAATACCAGGAGAATAAGCACTCTGGCATACCATGTTTGTCTTGGCGTCCTTTAACTTAGATGTGATTATGTTGAAAATAGTAAACATAAAAAAAAAGGGCCGGGCTGTGGTGGCGCACGCCTTTAATCCCAGCACTTGGGAGGTAGAGGCAGGCGGATCTTTCTGAGTTTGAGGCCAACCTGGTCTACAAGAGCTAGTTCCAGGAGAGGCTCCAAAGGCACAGAGAAACCCTGTCTCGAAAAACCAAAATAAATAAATAAATAAATAAAGGCGTGCGCCACCACCACCAGGCTGGAATTATTTTTTTGAAGAAGATAATTCACATTTGTTTCAAAGTTTTGCTCCATATCATCGAAACCTTTTGCAAATGCTCATGTGTCATGGCTCTTTTACCAGGACATCTTGGCTCTGAGAATATCTGCGCAGGTTGACTTAATTTTACTATATAGCCCTGGCTGGCCTGGAACTAACTATAGACCAGGTTGGCTTTTACTCAGAAATCTCCTACCTTGAGGGCTGGAGAGATGGCTCAGAGGTTAAGAACACTGGCTACTCTTCTAGATGGTCCTGAGTTCAATTCCCAGCAATGATGTGGTGGCTCACAACCGTCTGTAATGAGATCTGGTGCCCTCTCCTTCGCTGTATGCATACAAGCAGACAGAATACTGTATACATAATAAATAAATAAATAAATCTTTAAAAAGAAAAGAAGTCTCCTGCCTCTCCCTCCTGAGTGTCTGGAGCAAATGCTTTTAGTTGGACCTTTCAGTGGGTTTTTATAAAATTGCACCCCATTACTCTCCATATTCACCATGTTGCAGTAACACAAAGCGATGACAGTACCACGTATGGTTTCTATTGTGACTACACTAATTGGGTAGTGTAAAGCAGCCAAAGGACCCGCGGAAATGAGTCAACATGACTGTGTTCCAGCGATGTGCTGTGTTCAAACTTTTACAACTGAAATTTGAATTTCATATGATTTTCATGTCTCACAAAGTATTCTTTTCACTTTTAGAGTGTTTTCCTAGCATGCTCAAAACCTGGGTTCAATATCCCCAGGGGTGTGGAGGAAGGGGGAAAGCCATTTATAGTTTATCCCTGTACGGTGCACAGGCTTTGAGCAGGGCCACAGTGTCCATGCCCAAGCCACGTAGCCAATGCAGCGCTGACTTGTTTCCTGTCACCTTTACAATATGATGATCTCCTTGGGGTGGAAGCAGCTGTCCAGTAAGACAACTAGTCCCCTTCAGGAGCCATGTATAAACAGGTGGACTAGAGGTAGAGTGCTAGCATTGGGGAGGCTCCAGCTGCTGCAAAACAATAACAAATGAATGAGTATCATAAAGGTGAACATATTTACATAAGAAGAGAAAAGCCAAAAAAAAAAAAAAAAGTAAAGCCACCAGGCGCGGTGGCATGTGCCTTTAATACCAGTGCTCCTGAGGTCATCCTTAGCTACAAGATGATTTGAGATCAGCCTGAATTATATGAGATCCTGTTTCAAAAAGAAAACCACAAAAAACAATTTTTATTTACCATTTGTTTAATGACTTTAAAAAACGAAAGAAAACAAAGTACTAATTGACATTTTCCTTAAGAAGGGTTGGTTTTTTTAAGTAAGAGTTTAAAGTGAACGGAAGAATGTAAACGTAATTTAAACTGTAAAGACCCAATTGGCTTATAAACAAGTGGTTGTTGCTCAGGTCTATGGAGTTTGTGGTTTTAGTAGGGTTCCCCCCCCCCCCCCCCCCCCGCCCCCATTGGTAGAAATATGAAGATCTAATCCTGGTATTAAAGGTGGAAACCCAGACATACTCAAAGGACATACTCAAAGGCAGAGAAGTAACCGTTTCTTCTTCCCGTGTAGCACACAGTTTCCAAGGTAATCCTTACGATTATCGTTTTCCGTTGCTCACAGTGTTGAGTTTGGGCAGAACCCATGATTTTTACCTTCTGACCAACAGGCAATGGAAACACTGATTGCACTCACACACTCGCCCTTTCTGCAGAGGTGTTGGACCCCTAGGGCCCTCTTCTCTCTCCACCTGGTCATGAAGAAGTCAGTGCTGTTTCTGATTTGTATGGCGAGAGCAAAGTCCGTGTGAGATGAACTGTGTGGATGCCCCCCCAGAACTGAGCTGGTCCTCTGGTTGACAAAGCACAAAATGTGAATCAATCCTACAGTTGCAAATATAGAAATTGTGCCCCAGACCTAGGCCTGAAAGCAGATTCTTCTTGAAGCGTCTAGGTGAAAATTTCCTCCAGTTGACGTTTGATTGAAGTAGTCGAGGTCCTGAAGTAGAAAGCCCAGCTAGATGGGTTATGGCAAACTAATCCTGGGAGGAAAAGCAAATGAGAAGATTGAGAAGAGGCAAAGGAGACTCGGAGATGCATTCTTCAGTTCTTTCTTAAGGTCTTGGGGAAGCTGTTCCCGGGGACTTGGACCTGTAATCCCACCTCCACGGGAAGCTGAGACATAAGATTGTCAAGTGCCAGTGAGAGCAATTTAGTGAGACCTCTCAAAATGAAAAATACCCAAAAGCCTGGGAATATAGCTCAGTGGTAGCCCTTGGCCTAGTACGAGTAGTAGGAGCAAGGCCCTAGGCCCACCCTACCCTACTCCCCCCCTCCCAAAAAAAAGAAAAACAAACAGGTCTTAGTGAACCTTTCAGGGATTTAGATTATGGCCCTTTTTGAAGAGAGTCACACTTCTGAGTTCCAAACTAAGAGAGCTATAATTACAGCTTGCTGGAGTAGTTGTCCAGAGCAAAAGAAAGCATCAATTTCCTTGTAAAGTTCTGTAAGGAGACTGTCCCCCTAAAGTAGCTGACTAGCAGGTGGTACTCCCACAACTGTCCCTGCTTTACTTTCTTCCCATGCTCAAAGTCAGATATGTTCAGTTCTTTCCACATAGCGCTCTTCCAGCTCGACTGTTAGAGACAGATCTTAAAGATGGTTTGGGGCAGGTTCTACACACGGGGGAAGGACCATTCCTGTTGACCTCCAGATGGAGAGTGCGCTGCCCTGTGGCTTGTCGAGCCCATGGGAGGACCTGTGTTAACTTGCATGGGCAGATGCGCATGGAGGCTGTTCAGATTTACAACAGGGAGGAGGGCAGGCATGAAGAGGAAGTGGAAAGCCTCTGGATTTTTCTACGATGGTGTACAGAGGCTGCTGAACCGTGGGAGTGGAGTGATACCCCTTTAGGATGCCATACCGAGCACAAAGCCTCCAAAAAATCCTCCAGTTACTAATACATTCTGCTTTATGAACGACACCAACTCCTCAGCTTTGCTCTTGACCCCAGTTGGTAATTGTGCCCTCTTCGGAATCTTCAATTGTTCCTTGGCCTTTTTCATGTCCTTCTCTACGCGATTCCAGTCAACTTTGATGTGGCCAGTATGGTTTGCGAGCTCAAGGAGAATAATGCCCCCTCCCACCGCTGTGGCAGCCAGCTTTCCAACTTTCTGGAATATGAAGCCAGTGCACCAGCCCGTGATGCCGCCAATCAGGAGCTGGGTTGCCACACTGTACTTCTCGCCCGCAGACCGTGTCTCCTGCCCAAAAAGTTTGCGCCACCAAGGCTGGTTTTTGCCAAATTCTGTAAGATCCAATGCCTCATAAGCATCAACGTGCTCTTGACTGTTCGTGGCCATCTCTGTGAGCTGCGAGTTGCGAGAGGACAGCCGCAGAGGGTCAGTAGGGCAGGAGATAGAGCGCTTTGCGGTTACGTTGGTGGTGGTTGTGGTCGTTGTCATGGCCTGCTGACCTTCCGCATGTGGGCAGATGTATCCATTCCCACGGCTGAGGGGAAAGAGGGCAGGTGGAGCATGCGCCTCAGCTTTTCTTCAGGGGGAGCTACGTCATAAAGCCACCTTGGCCTTTATCAAACTGCGTGTTCTAAGGATCAGAAAAGGCTAAAACTCACTCGGTGTTCCATATTTATTAGACTGGAAAAGTAAAGTATATTGTAAATACTAGTTGAAAGATTTGTTGGGGTTTGCAAAAAAAAATTGATTTCAATTGAATACTCAAGCTAAAGACAAGATTTGTTACAAAGTACAACCAAGCCTTTAAAAAGTAAATTTCAAGGTATTACCACAAATATTTGTTGTATACATTCAACCAGAAGCATTTTACAAGAAATTCAAATGAATGATTTCACATAAGAAGTGTTACTTCTTTACATTTAATAGCAGAGACACTCTCAAAGAAGTGAATTTACTTGGAACTATGCAAGTGATTACAACCTAGGATATGTGTACTCTAAAGAGACTGAGATAAGTTCACTTTTTCTTTTTGAAAGATTTATTTTTTTATTATGTATACCGTGTTCTGTGACTGCATGTGTGTCTGAAGGCCAGTAGAGGGCACCAGACTTCATTACAGATGATTATGAGCCACCATGGGGTTGCTGAGAATTAAACTCAGAACCTCTGGAAGTTCGGTCAGTGCTCTTAACTGCTAAGCCATCTCTGCAGACAAGTTAAAAATTTTAAGGCAAATAGAAGTGCATATAGGTTGTTTTGAAACAAAAAAATCATTGGTTAAGAGGCTTGCTGCACAATATTGTGTTGTTTACTAGGAGAGTCTTCACAGAAGTGATTCTGATTGCAGAATTGTGGTTTAGACAGTTGCAACTCTTCACCTAGGACTGTTACTGGAAAGATGTTCGTAGAAATAGGCTAATGCAAAGCTGTGAGCTTGACAGTTTTTGTGATAGCCTAAGGCGAATCTAGTAACTCATGACCAATCTAGTATTTGGTCATGAGAACTGTGAGAAAGTATGCACAGCTTGC